TTTGCCTTGCACATGGTTGACTTGGGTTCGATTCCTCCACACCTCTTGGAGAGCCCAGAAAGCTACCAAGAGTATCTTGCCCACATGGCAAAGCCTGGCAGGCTACCCATGACGTATTCGATATGCCAAAAACAGTAACAAGTCTCACAATTTGTTGAGATGCTACTGGACCCTGCTCGAGCAAATCGATGAACAACAGGAAGACAGTGCTACAATGCTAAAGTAACAGAATGGGAGACTAACACCCAAGAATCGTAGAGATAAAGCACCAGGATGATTGCTCCATGGCTTGGAAGCCAGCCTCACATGCCAGGGGAAAAGGCAGCTCTGACAGAGAAGGGACCACCAAGTAAAGGGTGCTAGGAGGGCCACTTGGGATGGGAGATGCTTGCTGAGAGTAGACTATAGACTGAACATGATGGCCACTTGATACTTCTATTGCAAATCACAAACACCCAAAGGGAGAGAGAGTGCAAAAGGGAATGTGCCTGCCACAGAGGCAGGGTGGGGTGGGGGCAACAGGTGCGGATGGTGGGAGGGATACTGGGATCATTGGTGGTGAAGAATGGGCACTGGTGGAGGGATGGGTACTCAATCATCGTATGACTGAAACGCAAGCACAAAAGTTTGTAAGTCTGTAACTGTACCTCACGGTAATTCATTAATAAAAAAAATATTTAAAAAAAAAAGACCCGATCTGTTTGTTTGTTCACACAGGGGTCTGGGTATGACCCTTCCTGTTGGCTTGACTAACTAGGTATCATCCCTCAACAGATATCTTGCTGTCGCTGTCCTGGGACGCATGGGGCTTGCCTTAGGAATGACAGTTCCCAGGCAGATTGTTGTTGGCCAGAGGTCTCTATGCTGGCACGGTCTCTACCCAGCTCCAGTCTTTTGCTACCCCCTACAGTGGCCATGGGGAGAGTCTGGGCACCCAGCTCAACACCACTTCATTTCTAGAACCTTAGAAGCCTGCTACTGGGGTCTGTCTTCAGGCCTCCCAGAGGTCCAGACCAAGCCACTGGACTTCTTCACGCAAACCCTGTGTGTCTTTTGGCCTGTAATCATAACTTGGAGCCCTGCTGCCCGGATGGGGGCCAGTGCCCAAATCTATTTTATTTTTCTTCTTTTTTTTTGGGAGGGGGGGAAAGAGATGGGGCATGATTTTTTTTAGCCACACCCAGTGGTGCTCAGGGCTTACTCCTGGCTCTGCGCAAGAGGGATCAGGGATGGAACCCAGGTTGGCTGTGTGTAAGGCAAGCATACTCCCGCTATCCTATCTCTCTGGTTCCCGAAATCCATTGATTTTTCTCTTCTGGAACTCAGATAGGAACTCTGCATTCACTCCCATCCTTGGTATAGGTGTTGCCATGGGACAGCCTAGGTGCTGTCTCAGCCAACAATCTTGACCCCAGCCCCTCCTAAGTGTTTTTTTCCCCCTTTGGACCACACCCAGCTGTGCTCAGGGTTTATATTCCTGGCTCTGTGCTCAGGGATCACTCCTGGTGGTCCCTTGGGGAACCAAATGGGATACTGGGGATCAAACTGGGGCTGGCCATGTGCAAGGCACGCACTGTATTATTGCTCTGGCCTCTGTCCCAAGTTTTTATGTGTTATTTATTTATTTATTTATTTATTTTGCTTTTTGAGTCACACCCGGCAATGCTCAGGGGTTACTCCTGACTCATGCACTCAGGAGTTACTCCTGGCGGTGCTCAGGGGACCCTATGGGATGCTGGGAATTGAGCCTGGGTTGGCCGCATGCAAGGCAAACACCCTGCCCGCTGTGCTATCATTCCAGCCCCTGTCCCAAGTTTTTAAAACAAATTGGAATTGCTTATATGTTGTTGTGATTAGCCTAATTAATGGTTTGATTCTTCCACTCTCGTCTCTCTCCAGTTTCTGCCAATTGCGACAGTCAGTTCCCAGGATCCTCTCTGTTGGCCCCCTCCAGTTCGTTGGGATACAGGCCAGGTTGCAGGCCACTGTTAGACACATCCCCTCCTTTCAGTTTTCCCAGTGTCTCTGTATTCATGTCTCTGTATACCATGAATATATTCCATGGTATATATTTTGGCTATCCAATGGTTATCCATACATTGGTTATCTGTTCATCTGTCAAGCTACCTGGTTATCCCACATTTTAGCTCTTGAAAAATGTGGTACCCATTTTGGGGGGTGGTACTGGGAGGGAACCCTAGGATCTCATATATGCCAGGCATGTGCTGTGTCACTGAGTCACATCCCCAAGCCCCTAGATCCTGCCAACTCCTCTCAACTACTCTTGAGAGTAGTCATTCGAAGATCCTGGATAATTATCCTTAAGCAACTACTTTCATTCTTACATGGGGCCAATTAAAAAGCTCTATGGGTGTCATTTTATTTTTCTTTTGTATTTCCCTTGCTGCAGACCCCCGATTATGGAGCCAGCTTGGGGCCACGGTTCCCTGAGAACTCAGGCAGCAGGGACCAGTTCAAGCATGTGCCGATGAAGTGGACCTCAGATGTAGCTTGAAGACTGACTCGTAGAACTGGTGGGATGTGAGGTGCTCATGCCGTGCAGGTGCTCATGGCAAACTTCCCCTGTCCTGAGCACTCCCAGGCACTTTCCCAAGGAGATCAAAGCGGGTTAAACAGGGCAATAGCTCTCTCTCTCCCTCCCTCTCTCTCTCTCTCTCTCTCCCCTACCTTCTCCCTCACTCACCACTTCTCTGACAGGAATCAATAACTCCAAATCTCTTTCAAATGACTCTGTTTTTTTTCTTAAGACTCCCCAATAGTATACAGAAACTACGGGACATGTACACAATGGAATATTACTTGGCCATAAGATAAAATTACACAATTTGATGCTGTGGGTATGGATCTGGAGAGTATCATGCTGAGTGAAGTGAATCAGAGGGAGAGAGACTGGAATTTTGCAAGTGCTTATGAAAGTGCTTGGAGCACCAGAGTGAGGGTCTTCAGCCCTTCTGCTCTGTGGCTGCTGCTCTGGTCCAGCAGAGGACAGCCCACCTGGTATCAATAAAGACTCAACACACACACACACACACACACACACACACACACACACACATATATGTATATGGGTGTAGCCATAAATATACGTATATTTGATATTTGATTTGGGGGTTATACCCGGCTGTGTTCAAGGTTTACTCCTGGTTCTGTGATCAGGGATCACTTGTGGGAGGCTCAGGGGACCATTTGCAGTGCTGGGGATATAAGCTGGGCCACTGTATGCAAGGCAAGCACCCTACCTGCTCTGCTATTGTTCTGCCCCGGGTTTTGTTTTTGCTTTGGAGTCACAACTGTGACGCTATGCTCAGGCTCTGGCCACACTGGAGGTGCTCAGGGACTCATCTGTAGTGTTGGGATTTGAACCGGGGTCAAGGCCTCAAGAAATCTCGGAAAGCGGCTGGCGGTGGTGTCGTGGTGTCGGGATCCTGGCTCCCCTGAATCCAGAGCCCGAGTGTCCCCCCAGCCTCCCGTCTCTCTCAGCGTCCCTGAGAATGGCTCGGGCTGAGCCTCAGAGCTGCAGGCCCCTGCTCTGCTCCCCCCACCCCATCTGCCTGTCCCCCCCCACCCCACCCCATCACTGGAGCTGCTCGGGCACAGTGCCAGGCCAGATGGCGAAGATGGGAACAACGGCCAAGGAGGAGGCGAAGAGGAAATGGAAGGAGGGAATCCAGGAGTGGGGGAGGGGGCCCAGGGCGCGCCCTGCTCCCCCCAATCCTGCCTGAAGGAAGAGGTTAGGCAGTGGGGGGGGGGGATGCAGGAAGCAAAGAAACACCAGCTGGCCCCGAAAAGCACAAATGCTACTTTTCTCCTTGGCAGGGAGGAGAACCTGGAGACCCAAATGGGCTCAGCACCGCCGGGAGGGGCAGTCACCCACGGCAGCATCCCCTACACGGCATCACTCATGGGCAACTGCGCGGGCACGGGGATGTGGGGGAGGGGGAGGAAGGAACAGGCGTTCCTCCTATCTGCCCCCCCATCCCCCTCTCCCCCCCAAAACGGACACCTATTACTTTGTATTCAGGGGCGCAGGGTAGCGCAGAGTTCCGGCCTTGTGAGCGGGATGCCGGGGCTCACGTGGGTAATTGCAGGGGTGAATAAAAGCTGTCCGTGTGGGCTGGTGTGTTTATTGTGAAGACTCAGTACGGAGAGGGGCGGGGGGGGGGATCCTCAGGGTGAGAGGAGACGTGGAGCCAGAGCGCGCTCTCTGCACCCCACTCCTCAAATCCGGGGGGGTGGGGTACCCGGACTTCAGGGTGTCTCAGTCCAGGGGTTCCGGGTCGGACCCCGTGAGCATCCCCTGTCTTGCCCAGAAACACGCACTTGCTTCCTCCCCTCCCCGGCCTGCCAGAGAGCAGCTGGACTTCTCGGGCTTTCTCCCCCAGAGCCCACCCACGTGCAAATCACTTCCTGTGGCTGAGGGGGTCTGAGCCCGGGACCTTCCTGCCCGCTGGCACCTTTGGGGCCCAGAACACCACATGCCTGCCCAGAGCCTGCCCCGAGGCCCTGCAGCCCATCCTGCCCAGATGCCCTAGAAATTTCCTCACCTGTCAAACAGGGACAGGCAGGTGGCCCCTTGGGTGGGTGGGGAGTGGGTGGGGTCCTCTTGGGCAGGAGAGGTGTCCATGTGAGGCTCACAGGGGCCTCTCCACGGGAGGCAGGGACCCGCGTGGTGGCGGCCTGGGGGTGCCCCGAGAGCTGGGTTGGCTGTGACAGGTGGGGAGCCCACGGCAGTTTCTGGGGCCCCGCCCCGCCTCCACGAGGCCCCGCCCCTGGCACTAAGCCCCGCCCTGACCCTAAGTCCCACCCACCGCGAGGCCCCGCCCCTCGGGCCCCATGCCCCGCCCCCGGCCTTTGTGACGTGCCCCCCACACCTGGCTGCACCCCTGCCCGCTAGCCCGAGCCACCACCCCGCTCGCTGGGGCTTGGCCCGTTGAGGCCGTTTAGGTCGGCGGGGAAAACGTCAGAACTCCCCTGAGACCATGAGGACCCGGGCTACCGGCGTCCTCCTCTCATTCCTGGCGGGTGAGTGGATTCCCACGACACCCTCAAGGCTTCCTGGCAGCTCCCACCCAGGTGAAGGGCAGAGGTGCTGGGGAGGATGAAGAAAACGGCCGAAATACGAGAAAGGGGGTCAGGGCGCTCACAGCCCCGTGTGCTGGGGACCCTGACAGTCCTTCACGCCTCGTAGTCTCTGCTGTGAAGCGTCAGGAATCGTTGGGAGAGCCCGATTCTGGTCACTTTGCCTGTCCTGCTCTACCAAGCTTACTCTTCCAGATACGCGGGCCTCAGTCTATCAGCACAAACATATGGGTTTATCTCAAGGGATGCTTCGGAGAGCAGTCACAGGAGCCCGGCCTCAGGGACCGTCCACATCTGGGCCCCCTTTCTGGCTTTCCGGGTCCTGTGTTCTGCCCATTCTGCCCTTCTCTCGCCTCTCGCCTCATTCTGTCCTACCCCTTTGTTCCCAAGCAGCTTCGTGCCCCGAAACTCCTCCAACCTCCTTTGAGTTTTCCAGAAACTTCTCCCCCACAGGTCACTATGCTCCCTCCCTCCCCAGATCTGCTCCCACTCCGCTGCCCTTCACCCTGCTTGGCCTCTGATCTTGGAATTCCCCCTCCCTGCCCCGGGGAGATACCACTGGTCACAGCACACCCCGAGTTCCTCATGGATGGAGTGGGGGGGCTCTCTGGGTTACCCTGGGAAGGCAGATGGGGACCCTGTGGATTCACTGAATTGCTCCCCGCTCCCCGCCAGCGCTGTTCCTGCCTCAGGCCCCTGCCAGGGACTCCGAAATTCCAGGCAGCCCTCTGTCTGACATGGAGTATGAACGCTTCTTCGCCCTCATGACCCCTACCTGGAAGGCAGAGACACTCTGTCGCATCCGAGCCACCCACGGCTGCCAGGACCCCAGCATCATTCAGCTGGACCAGTATGAAAATCACGGCTTGGTGCCCAATGGTGAGAGATGGACAGTGGCTCTGCCCTGAACCTCCGAGATTGGTGGCAGGTGTTGGGTGGCCCTTGCCCTGAGTCCATCTTGACGAGTCTTCCTTCCCTCAACTTCTCGGCATGCCTCCTTTTCTCCCCTCTCCCAGGCCCAATCTGCTCTGACCTTCCCTACGCCTCCTGGTTCGAGTCCTTCTGCCAGTTCTGTCAGTATCGTTGCTCCAATCATGTCTACTACGCCAAGGTGAGGCCCCGGGAAAAAGAGTGATGCCCCAGGGCTGAGGGAGAACAGGTGACAGCAGAGATGGGAGAAGCTTCCAGAATGGCCAGACTTAGGCCTCCTCCCTCACAGCCATGTGACCCTCGTGGACCCACAGTCTACACAGACACAGGCTCACTGGGCCCATTGGAGGTGTCCAAACGATCCTGCCTCCGGGGCCAAGTTGGGGAGAATGACTTGAACAGATAGAGGCTTCCGCTCGATTTCCTTCCAAGTCCAAACAGGGGATAAGGCTGGGTTTCCAGGGCTGGAGAGATAGCACAGTGGGTAGGGCGTTTGCCTTGCACGCGGCCGACCCGGGTTCGATTCCCAGCATTTTATATGGTCCCCTGAGCACCGCCAGGAGTAACTCCTGAGTACAGAGCCAGGAGTAACCCCTGTGCATCGCTGGGTGTGACCCAAAAAGGAAAGAAAAAAAAAAGGGCCGGGTTTCCAGACAAGTAGAGTCTTTACTGGCAGGGAAGTGCTGTGTCAGTCCAGAATATTCCACTGGTGGCCTTCATCCCTGTCCAGGGCCTGAGGGAGGCGGGAGGATAGGAGAAGTTGGCCCCCTGGGGATGGGATTTCCACTCTCCTCTGCTTGCAGAGGGTGCAATGCACCCAGTCCATCTCGGTCTTCTCGCCGAACGCTCTCAAAGAAATTTCTTTTGAAGCCCCGGCAATGGAAGTCACCTCACCGGCTGCTTCTTCCCACGCCACAGGTAACCCCGCCCCGCCCCCACAGGGATGCCCACCCGCAACCCATTCCTCGGCCCCAGAGCCGAGACTTCGGCAGCCGTGGAGGGGGGGGCGGGAAAGGTGTGGAGCTGGGAGGGTCGCCTCTCCTCATGAAGGGGTCCACAGCTGGGCCTTCAGCTGCCCGAGACTGGACGGGGTAACATGGACTCCAGCGGAAACAAGAGCCAAGGGCCCACACCCCACCCGCCGTGCTCCCAGGGAGGCCAAGTGCTCCTTGGAGTAGGACATGGCACTGAGTCACGTTCCTCCTACTGGGGGCCGGGTCTCGAGAGGCTGCTGTCAGGCTGACCCCCTCCAAATTGGGCACCCCCACACACACTCACCCCCACACCCATACACACTCCTCACACTCGTCTCCACCCCGACACTAACCCCCACACTCACCCCCATCTCCACTAGGGCACCTGAGCCTGTTCTGCACATGTCAGGGATGGAGGGGGTCGGGAGAGGAGCCCCGGGGCCCGCGGGCAGCCGTGGGGAGAGTGTCGGGCCTGCAGGAACAGTGGTCCTGGAGGGGATTTGATCCTTTTCATCTCAGGAACTTTGGAGCTCAAGAGCATGTGGAATGGAACAATGTTTTTCAAGGCCCAGCTGAAGTGGGGAGCCGGCCTTCTCCAAGCCCAAGTTAGGGACCAGTCCCTCATCCCCTCTGACCTGACCCAAGGTTCGGCCCTGAGTCCCTCCCCCATCTCCCAGATGCAGTTCCCCAAGCTCCCAGATGCAGTTCCCCAAAGCTCCCAGATGCAGTTCCCCAAAGCTCCCAGATGCAGTTCCCCAAGCTCCCTGATGCAGCTCCCCAATCAAAAGTTCCTCTGGGACTTTCATGAGTCCCCGCTCCTCTTGTTCACTTGAAAAAGGACCCCTGGCCACCTCTTTGTTTTTATGGTTTGCTTTTGGGCCATACCTGGCGGTGCCCAGGGATGACTACTCCTGGCTCTGCATCAGGAATTCTTCCTGGTGGTGCTCAGGGAACCCTATGGGATGTCGGGGATCGAACCCAGGTCAGCCGCGTGCAAGGCAAACGCCCTCCCCGCTGTGTTATCACTCCAGCCTGTCCCCCCCTCCTCCCCCTGCAGCTCTTGAGATTTGTTCTTCCCTACTTGCTCTCTCCTATGTGAGAGGGACAAAGGCTGGGGTGTGGGACATAGGGAAGGGAGGTTCGGAGAGAGGTGGCAAGGGGGGGGTCACGTCCTGCCCCCTCCCTAACCTCAGAGTAATAGTGATCTGGGTACTGTCTTTGTGTTTCCCCCATACTTGCCCGTATGAATGGTGGGATTGAAGCTGCTTTTCTAGCAGTGTGTGTGTGTGTGTGTGTGTGTGTGTGTGTGTGTGTGTGTGTCCCCGTCCCTCCCTCGGCGAATAAAGCCATCAGGGCCAGAAGCCTGACGGTGTCACCCCCTCCCTTCTCTTCCTCCGTCCTCCTCAGCCCCTGTTCCAGTCACGGAGAAACAGTCCTTCCGGTCCTGGTCCGAGCGGATCAACAGCAACATGGAAGGGCTGGTCCGGTCCCTCCTGTCCCAGGGAGGCCTGAGGCGAGAGCAGGAGCACAAGCAGGAGCAAGGCCAGGAGCGCAAGCAGGAGGAGGCCCAGGAGCACAAGCAGGAGCAAGGGCAGGAGCGCAAGCAGGAGGAAGCTCAGGAGCGCAAGCAGGAGCAAGGGCAGGAACGCAAGCAGGAGGAGGCCCAGGAGCACAAGGAGGAGAGCCAGGAGCACAAGGAGGAGAGCCAGGAGCACGCGGCGGAGGAAGAGCAAGAAGAGCAAGAGGAGGAGCAGGAGCAGGAGGAAGAGAGCAAGCAGGAGGAAGGACAGGGGACCGAGGGACTCACCGGGATGCTGAGAGGCCCAGAACCCAAGTACTAGCCGAGGAAGTGGGTCGCCCGGAGCGTGTCGGAAAACCGAGACGCCGCCCTTGATTTCAGTTCCTCAACTTAGCCACATCTGAGTCAGGCCAGACCCCCGCCGATGCCCTTGGATCAACTCAAAACTCAGTCCGTTCCAGCCAGACCCAGGGCTTTCCAACTGAGCACGGAGACACCGGCTGCCCCAATCACTGACTTACTGAGGCATCCCTCTCCCCCCCCCCACCCCCCCACGCCGTGCAAACTCTCTCCCTGAGCATGCAGTGCATGGAGGTCTGATCACGCATGCGCATATCAAACCCCAGCAGACTGGCTGCCACCCCAGCCCCAGTTTTTTCTCCCTTTTTCACAGAGTATAAAAATCTCCCTGGTCCGGCTCAGGGGGGGCCAGTGCTCAGAAATGTATTTCCCCGCCTCCTTGCATGTTACAAGAAATAAATCTTTGCCTTTATTGTCCTTTGTCCAATTGACTGACGGGAGCCCCGGCAGCAAAGTTTTTGCTTTGGGGAAAGACAAGTTCTAGGCTGAATCATTTTTGTTCTTTTGTTCCGGACCAAATTTGGTGGATGGTTGAAGCTTACTCCTGGCTCTGCATTCAGGCAGGGATCACTCGTGGAGGGCCTCAGAGAACCATACAGGGGGGCAGGGATCAGACCTAGGTTGGCCACGTGCAAGGTAAGTGCTCTACCCACTAAATATATATATATAAATGCATATAAATCCAGATCCCGGACGAGATCAGTGCAGTCTTTTGCCCCCGTGCCTCGGTGTCCCTTGCCGGGACCCCCTTGGAGGGGAGCGGATCGAGCTTTCCTCCCCGCCCCGACCGGGGCTCCGGCAGCCGAAGACCTCCAGGACCAGCCACCACCATGCTGAGACCACTCTCCGCACACATGAAGGTACTGGCAGAGGGACAAAGCCACGCGGGTTCCGGGGCCGAGACCTCCATGCCTACTCGAATTGGAGTCGAGCATCTTCCACCCAGATCCTCCAAATTCCAGTAGGCGGGGGTCACACCCACCACCTGGCCCCCTGGCGCCGTGTAATCCCATCAGCGGCCAAGACTCAAAGACTATAAAATCCAGATCCCGGAACCGCGCGGCCGCAAGACATCTTATCAGAACTTTTCTTTATGACATCTTATTATCTCATTCCTACTTTGGACAAACTTGCAGGCTATCGAATGTAGCCTGCCCACAGGGCAGAGTCTGGCAAACTCCCCGTGGCGTACCAAATATGCCAAATACCAGTAACAATGATGGGTCTCATTCTCCTAAAGAGCCGTGAATATAATCTCAGGGCTAGGATGAAAGAGACGTTACTGGGGCCTGCTCGAGGCAATCGACGATTAACAGGATGATGAAATGAAATGAAATATGTATATATTTTACACACACACACATATATATATATCACTTGTCATCCCTTTGCTCATCAATTTGCTCGAGCAGGCACCAGTAACGTCTCCATTCGTCCCTGTCATGTGTAGATAGTGTCACCCAATGGCACACGAAGAGCATCAAACTGTTCGTTCAGGGTCTTGACAAAGAAGTCCAACCATCTTGAGGTGGGCGACCAGGCATTCTTTTGACATCCCATGGAATCCAGTCGGTAACGGCTCTAGTCCAGCGGTCATCTCCAAATTGCATATACATACACACACACCACACACATACACACACACAAATATATATATATATATGCTTTTTCGGTAACACCCAGCGATGCTCAGGGATCACTCCTGGGAACTATATGGGATGCTGGGAATCGAACCAGAGTCAGCCGCGTGCAAGGCAAATGCCGTACCCGCTGTGCTATCTCTCCAGTCCCTCCACCCACCATATTATTTCTTGGGCCGAGGCAGAATTTTTTTCTCTCCATTGGCTGGAGTGATAGCACAGCGGTAGGGCGTTTGCCTTGCATGCAGCCAACATGGCCGACCCGAGTTCGAGTCCTCCGCCCCTCTCGGAGAGCCCGGCAAGCTACCGAGAGTATCTCGCCCGCACGGCAGAGCCTGGCAAGCTCCCCGTGACGTATTCGAAATGCCAAACAGTAACAACAAAGTCTCCAATGGAGACGTTACTGGGCCCGCTCGAGCAAATCGATGAACAACGGGAGGGCCTTTACCTTTACCTTTGGATCCCAGAGGGTGGGGCAGGCAGGACGACCTTGAACAGAGGGACTCTCAGCACCTCAACATCGGGTGCCTTCTAAGTCATCATCTTGGCCAGTTGTATCACGTCCACCAACATGGGTTTGAACTCAGGATCTGACCAACTAGGCAAGCAGTAAAAGCCATGCCTGCTCCCCACAACACCCAGTGCCCCATTCTGGTCCGTCCCAAGCAAGAAGATTCTTCCTGTTCATTCTCCTCCCCTCGCAGATGTAGGAAGTGTCACCGCCAAGGTGATGCACCCCAGGAACTCAGTGAATCCAAGAGACATGAATAAAAAGAACAATGAGGGGGCTGGAGTCATAGTCCAGCGGGGAGGGCATTGGCCTTACACGTGGCTGACCTGGGTTCAATCCCCAACATCCCATACGGTACCCTGAGCACCGCCAGGGGTAATTCCTGAGTGCAGAGCCAGGAGTAACCCCTGAGCATTGGTGGATGTGACCCAAAAAGAAAAAAAAAATCTCCGAGGATGGGAGAAGCATGCTGAAAGTAGACTATAGACCGAACATGATTGCCACTCAATGCCTCTTTTGCAAACCACAGCACCCAAAAGGAGAAAGAGAACAGAAGCAGGGTGGGATGGGGGGATGGGGGGTGGGAGGGATACTGGGATCAGTGATGGTGGAGAATGGGCACTGGTGGAGGGATGGGTGTTTGATCATTGTATAATTGAAACCCAAGCACAAAAATTTGTAAGTCTACAACCGTACCTCATGGTGTCTCACTAATAAAAATTGAAATAAAAAAAATTTTTTTTAAAAGAAAAAAATCAAAACAGGCTAAAAAAAGAACAAAGAGGATCCATTTAGAATACCAAAGCCCTGGCAGGTCCACCAAGACGTTCTCTCCTCCTCCTCCGACCTCCCTGCAGGCCCTCGGGGGCCACACCCACTCTCCCAGCTCTGGCCTCTTTGGACTGGACCCGTTTGGCTTCTGACACAACTGCCTATCTCACCCGTCAATCCCAACATGGGATTAAGCTCCATCCTAACGCTGCCCTACTCTCTGAGGTCCTGACATCAGCCATACATGTCCCTTGGAACCAGTCGTGGGTCTGGACCTCTCCAGGCTCTGATTAGTGTCACACTGTTGAGCGAGTGGCTGCCATTTCCTGTACCCGGGATCCTACAGAGGCAGCCCAAATGCCATCCCTGCCATCTTGTCGCAGCCATACTGAGAATTCCCCCTGGAAGGGGGGTTTCTGCTTCCAGAAAGCTGCAGATGCCTATCAAACCACCTCCTCTTCCCATTTCTCTAGGGGTACACATTTTTGTTGTTTTTCCTTGGTTTCAAGACCACACGCAGTGGTGATTGGGGCTTATTCTATGCTCTGGGAGCACTCCTGGTGGGGCTCTGTGGAGTGATCAGATGTGCTGAAGATCAAACCTAGAGTGGCCCCGTGCAAGGCAAGTGCCTTGCTCACTGCGCCATCAATCCAGGACCTGCCTCACACTTTCCTGCTCCTTTTTAAAGCAAAACTCCAGTGATTAAAGGGCATAAAAAGGAGAGATTTATGCCGGGTGGTCACATAGCCTCTTGCTGCAATCACACACATGGGTTCCCATCTTTTTCTGCCCTCTGAACCCATCCCGGAAGCCTCAGCCCAACCCATGGATTCCTAGAACCCCCTAATTCCTCATATCCCTTCTACCACCCCAAGGAGAAAGTTTAAGGTCTTTCCACTCATGCTTCTCATACAGACAAGATATGTGGGGTGTTCGTGTGTGTGTGTGTGTGTGTGTGTGTGTGTGTGTGGCTTTTGTGAGCGCGGGTCTTCCCTGCTCCCCATCACTACCCTGGCCCCATGCTCCCCTCCCAGATAAATAATAAGTAAACCACTAGCATGATTGGCCCCCAGAGATCAGGATGGGATAATCTCCTGATTAATGCCCCCAGGGGACCGCCTCTCCAGCAAGCTGAGAGTTCAGTTTCCATCCCACGGAGAATAACAGCTTGGGGTGTCTGGCGTTTTTCAGCAGAGGCTCTGGACCATACCTGGGGTGAGCAGCCATATCTGCTGTCTCCATATCCGGGCAGAGTCAGCCCCAGGATCTGCTCAGAAAAGGTGGAAGGGACCCGTGTGCTCCCAAGAACAGACATGGGGGATAGCCCCAGGGATGCGCCCTGAGGCCTCACCACCCCTGTCCTGCAGGGCTGGGTTGTGGAGGGGACAGGCCAGGCCACCCAGACCATGTGGGTGGGTGTGACAGCCTGCAAGGGTCCTCCCAGGACACTGCACACAGCCCCCAGACATGCTCCATGTCAGCCCAACGGGCCCATGTTCCCAAGCTCCGGAAGGACCCGGATGTCCAGGGTCAGGATCTGGCTGGCTCAGGGCCCCCCTGTCCCCAGCTCCTTCCCTCCCTGCCCCATCTTGCCTCCTGGGGAGAGCTTCACCTAGCCAGGACAGCCCCACCCAGCTGGGCAGGGCACAGCCCATAATACTAAGTCTCCTCCTTGGCCCCCACCCCCTCCAGGATGGAGGCCATCCCATAATAGCCACCCACAGGAGACATTCCGCGGTGACCGCCCCCTCCCTGCAGAGCTGCCTGAGCAGACATCCCATAATAGCCGGCCGCCCATTTCCCTGGGTGAGGCCGTGGGGGAGCCGGAGGAAATGGAGGCGCCAGAGGGCCCCAGCGTGGGGCAGGACCCGGAGGAGAGTGGCCATCTCCGGGGACTGGGCCCCAGGACGCCCGGCAGGTGGAAGGCGGGGCCCTCGGGCCCACACCACCCGGCTCTGGGCCCGGGGACCCTCCGCGGGACCCGGGGACCACCTGTCCCCCGGAGCCCCCAGGTGGCTGCTGGGTAGGGGACCTGCCTAG